GTCGAGCAGGCCGGCAGCTTGTGCGCACGCCGCCGGGTGATCGCAGGCAGGCAGCCATCACATAAGTCTTTAAGAAAATTGTTATTCATGGTTATCTCATGCTGGCTTCAAATGTACCTCTTATCACAGTAGCTGGAGGACAAGAGAAAGGCAGATAACTGAGTCATTACCATAAATATCCTAGAAGACTTGTACATCCAGAAGGCATGAATATATACACCATGAAATAACAATGAATAGCAGTTACATGAAACACTTTATCCTTTAATTTTGTCTTGTACCAAGAGCATTTTAAATAAAACCTTATTGTTTTCTCATATAAAATTTAGCCACTTGACCATGACCAATATATACATATCACAATAATATGTTTAGTAATATATTTTCCATAAGGCTATGGAAATTATTGGGGTCCTCTTTGTGAACAAAGGCTGGAATAAAATTTTTTCCAAGCAGCCATTCCTTCATTTACCAAGAGTCCTGTCCAGTAGTTTTCCTAAGCCCAAGAGTCTAATTATATTAACAAATTTTTAGATGACCTATGAGAGCCAGATTGTAATAATTAACACATTATTTTGACCAATGAAAGATTCCTGAGTTATTATATATAGACAACATTATGTACTGTATTTGTAAAACCAGTTGACATTATTTGGATAATCTGGCAACCTGGGGGAAGCATAGTTTTCTAGAAGCTGATGTGAGTTACAGGAGAACATCTTTAAAAATCCAAAATGTCAAAAGAAAAAAACCCTTAAACAAAATAGCTATACATATTGTAATAAATTGAACAGACAGATACATACACATAAGACAACTTGTTTATAAGCCAGAGTGCACTCAGATGTATTTGGCCAAGTTGAATTTTAATAGCTTTTATATTTTGTAGGTCTGTGATTACAAAAAGACTAGTCAGAACTTTGTAGATCAATTAACAGAGATCTCCTATAATAAGAATCAAAAGGAATAAAAAGCTTCTACACCTGTGAAAGCAAAAATAGTTTTAAAATGGGCCCTAAACTGACGGTTTATCTGACTGAAATACACAGCTACACAGGCTTTGAGAGTTTTAGGATTAACCCTAGACCAATTTTCTGTGTGGCCCAGAAATAAGTGAAGGTCAGCTTTACTCTGAAAGAGTTCTAGGAAAGGGAAACTCACCATTCTGGAAGATTTGTCTTGAAATCCAGCAGCCACAGAGGAGGGAAATGCTTTGAAATAATACTATTAACTGTGTTATTTCTCAGAGGCAGAGCAGTGGAGAAGGGACAAAAGAGTGCCTTTAAGTATGGCACAAGGACTAAATCTTAACCATCTCAGGTATAGAAAGACATTTAAGATCAGGAGCTTTTTTATGGTGGATCTGCAATCCTTAGCAAAGCACATCCCTAGAGACAAAAGCTATGATTGACTCCAATTGTGCTGCCAAGCATAAAATCACTCCAATAATCAAAGAACCTGAATGGCTGCTTTTTGCTTCTGAAAGGAATGAAAGTGTTCTAACTATATTGTTTAGAGCTTTTCTTTTTAAATAAATTATTTTTAATCTATAATATCTAATTTATGACTTAAATACCCTACAAGCTGTTGAGCAGCTCCCTGATCTTATAGAAACACCCCTAAGCCATGTCTTAACTTCATTAACATACAAATTGAAGTGGTGTCCTGTAGGTTAGCAGAAGTAATTATCTGAGCTTCTGGAATGTGGTCTGGGAATCAGGTTCCCAGGTTAAGATATGGCTGTCTTTCGCATTTTTCTATAGGATGATAGATGGGTCACACAATCTCACTGTATCCTACTATCTAAAGGTGACACAAGCCTATAATTTTTAGAAATCTTCTTAGCTATTTTAGGTTCTTGGGCTGTGGAGAGGAAAGAATCAATTTAATTCTTTCTTCCCCCAATCTTTGGGTTCCCTTAGATATAATACCTCAAGACTGCAAAGCTGTGCCTTAGACCTAGAAACATTATAACCTCTGTTAGAAAATTCAGCAGAACACAGGGTTCTTGGCTAGAAACCTCTTCTGAGGGGGCACATAGTACTATGCCATCTACGTATTGCAAGACTGACTTGAAAAAAACCATAATATTTCCTTTTATCAAATCAGGATCTAGAGATGTCCTCATCTCTTTCTGATAAATAGTTGGCAATTTAAAATAACTGAAGGACTTAGTTCTCATATTTCTTAGACCTGTAAGAATACATGCCTAGTGTGAAAAGCTATAATAGTACATAAGATCCTAATGAGATAAATGACAATGTGAAATAGGGAGAAAAGGGCTAAAGGTGTAGGGAAAGTGGGAAGGGTAGGGGAAAGATAATAAGGGAAAAGAAAAAAATATAAGAAAATGGAAATGAAGTGTTTGTAAAGGGGGAGGGGGAGAGGAGTGAAGGGAGGGCAGGGACAAGGGGAAAAAATGAGAACCAAGATCTGTCATGTAAAGGTACAAGATCCCAGTAATGAGTGTAACTATACTGTATACCTAAAATGTACCAATAAAGTCAATGAAAAAAATAAAAGAATACATGCCTGAAAATGTCTTCTATTTTAATCTCCTATCTAATTGTCAGGCCAGTAGGGGTCCTGTATAGGAACTGCTTGTGTTCCAATAGAAACCACTTGTTCCCCTGGCTGCCTATCTTTTGAGCTTCCAAAATTAAGATGACATTTGTCTCTAAAAGTAGTACTACTTGTCTCTCATTAAAAACCAGTATTTGATTTAAGGGCAACATTACATCTTTCTAATATAGTCCATAGGTCTGAGTAGGTTCTCTAAGAACCTCAATGTACATATCAGGATCATTCAAAAGCTTTATTAGGTCTCATTTAATCTGTCTTAGATCACTGAGAAAGACGCATGAATGCAGGTAATCCCATATTTGCCATTTACTTCCTGCAAGGAATGTTGTCTTTGAGGGACCTGAACAACTTAACTAACTTAACTATCTACCCTTTACCAGCATGTGATCTTATCTTTCTCAGGTAACTCACATCCTTACTCCAGTAAGTACTGTCAAAGTACAAGTTACAAATGACTTCAGCTACAACAATTATGTTTAGAAAAGTATTACTAGCAAATCAAGGAATTCAAACCACTGCTTTGAAAGATTTGTTTTTTTATATTTATCTAGAGGTCTGTCTTACTAGTAATAGAGAGAGCAGTTTAAACCTGTAGCTCAACTCTTAACGGAGACTTTAAGAAAGGGCTCTGATGGCATCATTTCAGATCACTCAGAGAAAGGTTATCTGCTGATCATTGACAGAGTTCCCCTGTCACCTCACAGAGGAGTCCAGATGGGACAAGATGTGGAGATTTTCTGCTGATTACCCAGATGGGATGTTGGGAACTAGTTTCTTTTGAGGGACCTTTGGGTTTCCATCAGAGAGTAACCTTGGCCATGACCCCTCAGTTGTCACCTCAGTTTCCACCAGTTGCACACAATCAGAGATCTGTCTCCAAAAGGAACCCAATTGCCTATGGGAGTGGGGATTCACTGCTTTGAGAATGGCAGTTGCCGTAAAGGCAATTACTAGCTGGTAGAGTAACAACCATTTGTTTACAATTCTGTAAGGGACAGATAAAAGCCTGAACTGTCTTCATCTGAGACAATTTCATAAGACACTCATTTTACAGCATTTTGAAGCAACTAAGTGCAAATGCAACACACAAAGCAAGAATAAAACATAATTTAACAAAACAATGCATAAGAAAAATAAGAAATTTGCAAACATTTAAAACACACAACTTAAAATTAAGACACTTTTAAAACAAAAGCTGAAACAAAGGCCATAAGAATTTATATGAAACAAAAACCAGAATCTATGAAACAAATGAAAGCCTGCCTATGAAATAAGTTACAATGTATGAAGCAAAAAGACCAAAATTAAAACCTATGAAAGAAAACTCTCACCTCTGACCAGTAATCTCGGTGGAAGACCTCCAAAACGATATAGGGGGAAGAGATGTAACTCCCAAACCTGCTAGATATCCAAAACACAAATTCATGTTCTCTAAAATTGAAAAACGATTTCTAGGAACAATGGAGCTTAAGAGTAGGAAAAATTTACTGGGGGAAAGAAAGCTTCTGTCTAAGAGAGACAGAAGGGGAACCAAAATGTGGGTTGCCCCTACTTCAACACTTTTGGGATGAATTATAGAGCCTTTCCAAATTTTGGGAAAAGTTTTTATTGTATAATGTTTGCATTCATTTTCTCAACTTTGAGAAATTATGAGGAGTGTGACACTCATAATTTAATCAGTTGAAGATCATTTCCTTTTAAAGTTGACTTCCCTAGAGTTGAGCTTTTGAACTTCTCTTTCAATTTTCCCTATCCTAAAACACACTGTGACACTTCAGTTAGAGCAGGCTGAACAGCTCCATTTAAAATATATAAATATTAGGGAAGGCAGGGATAAGGGGAAAAAATGAGAACCAAGACCTGTTGTGTAAAGGTACAAGATCCCAATGCTGAATGTAACTATACTCTATACCTAAAATGTACCAATAAACTCAATGAGAAAAAAATATATATATATTAATATTAATCAAAGTAAGCCTGACATCATGAAATGATCTAAATTGTTGTAGAAAGCAACCCTAGCAGTTAAAGAGTCTTGATTACTGTTAACATTTAGTAAGCATTCACTATGCACAATTTTGGTACTGAATAATCCTGAAAACTTTCTGGTGTTATACTTATTTTCTCCTTTCAGATCAATAGAATGGAGGCATAAAGTGGTTAAATAACTTGACAAAATCATATGCTATATTAAGGAGGGAGCATTAAATGGAATAGGAACTTAGTGTAATTACAGAGGAATTTAATCACTTCTATTTCAAAGTTCTTTCAGGAAACATTAGTTTCTCTTTTTTCTTTATTATTATTGTTATCATTTTTATTTGGCCTCACACCCTCTAAATACCATTGATTTAATTTATGGTCCAGGAAATTGCCATTGGGAAAGAACATAAAATGTTCTGCTGCTGTCACTCAGTATGTCTGGAGCCAACAGCTCCAGCCTGACCCCAGCTTTCTTCATCCTGAATGGTGTTCCCAGCCTGGAAGTCGCACACATCTGGATCTCCCTCCCATTCTGCCTCATGTACATCATTGCCATCCTGGGGAACTGTGGCCTCATCTACTTCATCGGCCATGAGGAGGCCCTGCACCGGCCCATGTATTACTTCCTGGCCCTGCTCTCCTTCACGGATGTCACATTGTGCACCACCACTGTACCCAACATGCTGTGCATCTTCTGGTTCAGCCTCAAGCAGATTGACTTTAATGCCTGCCTGGCCCAGATGTTTTTTGTCCACATGTTGACTGGGATGGAGTCTGGGGTGCTCATGCTCATGGCCCTGGACCGCTACGTGGCCATCTGCTATCCCTTACGCTATGCCAGCATCCTCACCAATCCTGTCATCGCCAAGGCTGGTCTTGCCACTTTTGTGAGGAGCGTGGCACTCATAATCCCATTCACTTTCCTCACCAAGCGCCTGCCGTATTGCCGGGGCAACCTCATCCCCCACACTTACTGCGACCACATGTCTGTGGCCAAGGTCTCCTGTGGCTATGTCAAGGTCAATGCCATCTACGGTCTGATGGTAGCTCTCCTGATCGGCGTCTTTGATATCTGCTGCATCTCCGTGTCTTACACTATGATCCTGCGGGCTGTAGTGAGTCTGTCCTCAGCAGACGCTCGTCATAAAGCCTTTAGCACCTGTACCTCTCATATTTGTGCTATTATAATCACTTACGTGCCTGCTTTTTTTACTTTTTTCACTCACCGGTTCGGTGGACACAATATTCCCCACCACATACATATCATTGTGGCTAACCTTTATCTACTATTGCCTCCTACCATGAATCCAATTATTTATGGAGTCAAAACCAAGCAGATCAGAGAAAGTGTATTTAAGTTTTTAGTTGGAGAAAGATTGGCTTTGCCTAAAACAGATGATGCATGAAATAGATGTCTTGGAGTGGGAAGAAGGTAGTGAAGAAGAGATTTCTAAAAGATGTGAGTAACAGGTTATTGTCACTATGATACATAATTTTTTTCTGAACTCTTACAAGTACATGTTATGAAATATTTCTTGTGAACAAAGACCGCCAAAGTAGAACATTCAGAGCCAAAATGATAACCTAACTACTCCTTATAATTTTGTATTTTTCTGCAATGTTACAGAGTAATATGTCCAGTGAGACTAGCAATATAATAAAGTGAAGACTAAGGTCGATCTATACCCTGTGTGTACAAAGAGGAGGCTGTCATAACATGAGCAAGCACATCCTCTCCATTAAGACAATTTCTACCTGGGCTGGGCATTTAGTTTAGTGGTTCTGCCACCTGCCTTGCAAGCGCAAGGACCTGAGTTTGATCCCTGGTACCAAAAAAAAAAAAAATTCTACCAGGTTAAATGCATTTTTGACATGGATTCAGTGTTGCAATTTTCTATTACCGATTAGAACTCACTGAATTTAGATGGTTTCTGACATCTACTGATTTTGTTTGTTTCATTTTGAAAGGCTCTGTAACATCAAAGAACGCTATCATTGTGGGAACATCATTTAAAATGGATAGGAAAAATGTAGTTGTCATATTAATAACCAAACAGACAAGTATATTAAGTTACCAGTATATTTAATAATTTATTTATTCACTCACTTTTTCATCTCTCATTTTGAGATTGTAATTCATTTAATGTTTTTATGTATACTTTGAATTTAATGAGAGGGGAGCAGATTTTAATATGATAGAGTTCCAGGCTTTTGGATACTGAAAAATCTAGACACTGTCAGGAATTCATGAGATGAAACATGTATGAAAAAAGAACAGAGCTACTAAAAAGTGGTTACCAGGTAGAGGAGACAAAAGTTAGTAGGAAAGACTCAGTGGAGAATTTTGAAATTAGTCCCCAGGCTTAAATACTTTGTATGTCTAACTAGACTTTGACAGAACAAGGCTTAATCTTAGAAAGATTAGACTTAATCTGTCTGAATTTCAGCTCACACTTTCACCACAGGATATATTGAGCCAGATAAATATTCTAATAAAAAAGCATGTAGCTTGTTTTTAATATATACTAACAATTCAATAAATTGTGCTGTTTTCAATTTGCATTCAGTCTAAATATCATAGCTTGTGGAGAAATCTTTCCAGTTGTACAAGCAATAGAAAATCAGTTTTCCATAGAAAAACTTTTATGACGTCTCACAACTACTTTGTTACTATTAGCCAACATATTTTTCTTTGTACCTTCTATGATGTGCCTGGATCCATCATGTGCTGAGAAATATAATTGGTCACAAAATTCCTAATGAATTTCTAATCTAGTAGAGGATATGACTCCTTAATGAGTGCTATAAAATGATAGTAAGTCAACTGGACACCATCACCCACTAAAACTGGGAGAACGCTCAGTGGTATCTATCTGAGGTACTGAGTAAAGACTTTACGTGAGAGGTAGGATATGAAATAAATCTTGAATTACCTGGGAGCATTCAAGAAAGCAGATGATGATTGTTGGAAAAATCAATATGTGAAAAATATTGAGGGTAATAAAATAGGGTCTTGTTTATGTATCCAAATGTTTTAGAAAGGAGGAGGTACAAAAGATGTGGCTAGGGAGGTAAACACAGGCTCTGCCAGGTGCTTTGCTTGTGTATTGGCATCACACCAGGCCTGCAGGTGCTGCTCTTCACCTGTGAGAGATAGCAAGCATTTAGCGTGACCCTTGGCTGCTAAGCAGTTGTAGCCCATTGGTCACTTTCCTGAGCTTCTCAGATTTCCAGCATAACCTCTGCCTCTTAAGACCGTCTCCCTTCTTTTCTTCTTCTCTAGTTTTCTTTTTCTTCCTCTTCCTCTTCCTCTTCTTCCTCCTCCTTCTTCTTCTTCTCAAGGCATTCTTGTGTAGACAGGAGATTTCTTATGTAGTGCACTCTAATTACTTTCTTACGAAGTGTTCACTCTTCTCTCTCTCACACACAAAATGGTTTCATGATTACAATAACAGCAAAACATATATAATATTTATTTTCTAGATACTGTTTCAAGAATTGTATGCTTATTTATTCTCAAGAGCAGTCATAGGGCCAAGGATCTAGTTCAGTGGTTACACTGCCTGCCTCTCAAGCTCAAGGACCCGAGTTTGATGCCTGGTACGAAAAACAACAAAAAACAAAAAAAAACAGTCAAAAAGATGTACTAATTTATGCCTATATTATTATAACTAGATGGTCTGACAAAATGGGAGATTAATAACTTAATGAAAGTCACATTTCCAGCAAGTGATAAAATTTGGATTTAAATCTAGGCAACTTGGTTTCAGTGCCTTTAATATTATTGCTTAGAATATATTGTATAATTTGTATAAGCAACTTAAAATGTAGAGTATCTAGCATACTTTTAAATGGGCCTAGAGCCGGGCATGGTGGTGCATGCCTATAATCCCAGCACTTGAGAGGCTGAGGCAGGAGGATGGCTGTGAGTTTGAGACCAGTCTGAACTACATAGTGAGTTCCAGGTCAGTTTCAAATACATAGTGAGACCCTGTCTCAAAAAACTGCCCCCCCCAAAATGGGCATAGTGCAAAGTCCCTGGTTATGACCCTATCATGGCTGAAGTGATGGATCTTTGCAGTGAATGATTCATCAAAATAAAACGATCTGCTATCAGACCAAGGGTCTTACACAGTATTCCACATGTGCTCATCTTCCGACAACTGTACAACATTTTTGCTCTTTTTCTAACTTATCTCAACCAATTTCTCCTACAAAGAATCTGAGAAGCACTCTGAGCAATTAAATATGTTAGATAGTAGCCTCTGGATTTATTCCCACTGAGAATGGGAACATTAATCTCTTGCTAAAAGGTCTCTATGTTAAAAATATCTATCCTGGCCACCATGTATCTTACTGCACTCCAGTGCTCCCAGTTATCTCTATTTTGTTCTTGGTATCTTTCATAGATAATATTCCTTTTCATATTAATTTACATGCATATTACATTTAGTGATTATTGGGTACCTTCCCCAAATCCACTGTTTAGATTTTTTTTCTTTTCATTGAGGTTATTGGTACAATCTAGGTATACAATACAGTTACATTCATCATTGGGATCTTGTACCTTTACATAATAGGTCTTGATTCTCACTTTTCCCCTTGTCCCTGCCCTCCCTTCACACCCCCTCCTCATTTACAAATACTTTATTTCCATTTTTTTAGTTTCTCATATTTTTTCCCCTCCCTTATTACCTTTCCCCCACCCTTCCCACTTTCCCTACACCTTTAGCCCTTTACTTCCTATTTCACATTATTAATTATCCCATTAGGATCCTGTGTACTATTATAGTTTTTCACACCAGAGAAACTATTCAGTATTTCAGTTAAAGAAATCTCTGTATGAACATTAAAAATAGGGAATCCTAAAATAAAACTAAAAAGGAAAGTAAAAGAGAAAAGGCAATGATGTAACATTAAAATAATCCTTAATTCTGGAGATGAAAATGGTCCCTGAACATGTTTAAATTGCTTCTCGCTCTTATAGTCTTATTCTTTTTTTCATTATTTAGAGAATACTTTATTAGTTTCTGTAATCAAACCCA